TGGGGAAAACTTCGAAAACCATAATGGTGACTTTTTTTCTAAAATAAGGGGATTTTAGAAATTTTGAAAAAATCATTATTTTTTAATTATTTTGGCATTCTTTTTAAGTTTTCCGTTTAATTTCCTGTAATCTCTCGTTTTTTGTAAAAAAATTATTTCCATTTTGGCATCCCTATATTTTTTGTGCGCATGAATCTTTTTCTCATTTGTTGTTGTTGTTTTTCTAGATGATGGATTGTTGATTATTTTTTAAAGATATTTATGTTTTATTGTTGTTGTTGCTGCTGCTGTTTGGCTTTTGATGCTGATGATGCGTGTGTGCGTGCTTGAGATAAGCGACCAAAAGAATGATAGCAACCACCCTCTACAACATGAATGGGATGGGGAGATGACCCCACACCACCCAACATCCTTGAACGCCGTTTTGGGTGGCTGGTTGACTGTGAAAATACGATAACATTCATTATGGTGTGCGTTACAATAACATTTATGAGATTTGTTTGGTGGTGGTGGTGTTAAAATCTCAGCTACTGGTTCCCCCCACACACCAGACTGATATCTGGGGGGGGGGAGGAGGCTAATTGTCTGCCGTCGTTTTGTCCTGTGTCTCTAACTAACTACCCTGGCCACTTCTAGTGTTATAATTTAATAAATTAACTCAAGCATTGAATTTATGCATATTTAAATTTTCTGTGACAACAACAATTCAGGCATTTATTTTTTTCGAGGATAGGGGAGAAATGGGGAATTTATAAGGCATTTTTCTATCCTCGGTTGGAAAACAGTTAACTAACAACATTAAATATTCATTAGTTTCTATCTCTTTTTTATACCATTTCATAAACATGTCGTTGTTTACATTAAAAAATAATTTCCTTAGATTTTCTTCCGTTCCTTGCGGCTAATTAGGGGAACATTTTAGGGAGAAAAAATTTGAAAAGAGAAATAATGTTTTTTTTTTCTTAAAAGTTGTTTTTAAAAAAGTTTTCTGTTTTTTATTCGGAAAATAATGAAAAAAAAATCTGCCACCATTTACATGTCAGTGAATATGCCCTTAGCTTAGTAATGATTTCCCCTCTCCCCCTTAAGAGGCCTTTGGGGAATTTTGTGTAAGTAATTGCCGGGATTTATGTTTTGGCTGTGTGACACCTGTGTGCCACACACACACACACACAAAACGCCCCACCTTTATTTTGTGGAGCATTTAAACAAAAGACAAAGTTTTGCCCAAAACTAATAATGATGGTGGTCTGAGTTTGAGTTGCACTGGCAGTTTTTTGGTTTGATGTTGTGTTATCATTTCCCTATACCCTGGTCGGCAATCTATGCAAATATGTTATGGAGTGCAAGCCAATGTTGAAGAAAAAAGCGTCTATTTAATTGACTGTTAAAAAGGCAATAAAACAAATAAACCAACAAAAACAACAATAACATATATAGACACAAACAAATAACAACAACAACAATTGCCATTGATTTGCCACTGGTTGGTTCGGTTGCTCGTTCATTTGCCTTGTACGCTGGTTGGCCACCTTATCAGATGAACTGATACAAATGAAATGCATTCACCAAAAATATTTTTCGTTTTTTGACTTTATGGGGAGCATTTGCTACCGCCGGCACTTTGGGTGGCTTAATTAAAATTGCAAAAACAACAACAACAACAACTGAAACAGAAAACCTACACATTGTGAGTCCAGGCGGCCCAGTCACTCAATTACGCCACAAACTCTCTTTGCAATATTTTTTTTAATATGAAAACAAAAAATGAAAACTGAAAACCTAGCATAGCCGATCATATCTAAATATGGGACACACACATAGATTGTTGTTGTTGCTGTTGCTTGTTATTTATTTAAATATTGCAGGCGAGCCAATTCCATTCGAAAACTCAACCCATTAATGTTCACAATATGTGTATGTGCCTGCTTGCCGGCCAAAGAGTTTTCATATTCACAATTCAAATTTACAGATTTCTGAATATTGGACACATTCCCATCGTGATAAGAAAGCTTTGGCTAGGAAATCGCAACAACAACAACAACAAAACCGCAGCGGCAATATGCCGCCTTAAAAAAATCAAACACACACACAAACATGCGTCTGTATGCATGTGTGTGTAAATATCATATGCCATCATCATTTCACCAAGTTACCGCTTGTGTTGAATAGCAAAAAATATAAAAAAAAATATAACATTTGGGGTTGCCAACCACATCAAGCGCGGAAAAAATGCCGATAGAAATCACAAAGACCCGACATGGCTCACTTAGAAGAGCCAGCATAAAGCAATGAGGAAATAAATTCAATATAAAAGAAAATAATTTTGAAAAATAGAAATTAAAAAAATGGAAATTTATTTGTGAAATTTATTTTGAAAAAAGCCGACGGGAAATTGGAAATTTCTGGGTATTTTTTTAAATACAAAAAAAATATTTGTCTACATTTTTTTGAAAATATTTTTTTTTTGTATATAAAAAAATACTTTTATTTTTATCACCTTTTCAAAAAAATTAAAACAACCTGTTTTTAAGTATTTTTCAAAAAATCCCAAAATGGGGGAAAAGTGGGGATTTTTGAAAATGTTTAGAGAAAAATATTTAAAAAACGTTTGTCTTTGTATTCAAAATAGTTTATATAGTCTCAACATATGATTTTAAAATATTTTTCAGAAATTCCCACAAATGGGGAAGAAGTGGGGATTTTCGAAAATTTTTGGAGATATGGGGAAAAAGTGGAGATTTGTTTATCTATGAAGAATAAAGTAAAAATATCTTATTTTGTATTAAAATTACTTATGAAGTCGTAAAATATGATTTTAAATAATTTTTCCAAAATTGTGGGGATTTTTGAAGATTTGTGAAGAATAGCGTAAAAATGTTTTCCTTTGTGTTAAAATTGTTTATATAATCACAAATTATGGTTTTAACTCGTTTTTCAAAAATTCCCACAAATGGGGAAAAAGTGGGGATTTTTGAAAATTTTGGACAAAAGCTATTAAATTATTTTTTTTTTTATAGAAATTTGATTTTTATTGCAATTTATAGACGATTTTATATCATATCCAGTATAAAAACAAATATTTTTTTTATTTATTTTTATTAATTCCCACAAATGGGGAAAAAGTGGGGATTTTTTTACATTTTTGGAGAAAACTATTAAATTACTTTTTATAGAAATTTGATTGCTATTTATAGATGGTTTTATGTCATATTCCATGATAAAAATAATATTTTTTTAAATAATATAATTTTTTTTTAATCTGGGGAAATAAATTTTTTCTAATGAAAAAAAATGTGAAAAATTAATTTTTTTTAGTATTTACATACTTATATTAAATCGAAAAAATGATTTTTTACATATTTTGAAAAATACCCAAAAATGGGGAAAATGTGGAGATTTTGTAAAATATAGCGGGATTCCAATTTTTTAATATTATTTATTAAAATTGATATTTATGAGATGATTTCAGTCATAAAACTTAGTATGTATTGAAGAATCCAAAAAAAAAAAAAAATCAAGAAGAACACAAAGTGGGGAAATTGTGGGGATTTTGTAAAAAAAATATTTTGGAAAAAAGTAATAAAAATATATATTTCGTTCAAATAAATACATTACAAAATGTAATTTTTAAAAATAAAATTTTTATTTTTTTCCAAAATCTGCATCCCTATTATTTTTAATCACCCTCCCAAAGGACCATTTTCCAGACAACATTAGCAAGTGAGAAGACAACAAACAAACATTTATTCATATTCCATTGAGCGAGAGAGGGGAAATGAAATAAATGTTTTTGCAACACGTTTACAACAAACGTTTGTAACACCATTCTCCCCCCAGCACCTGCCCTGCCGCTTAAATCTCAATTGCCTTTAAAGAGTGGTAAACGCCCAGTTAAATGGAACTCCCCTTGGAGTTGAAAAAAAACAACAACAACATCAAAACGTTAGACAAACACACACAGCATGGTTTGATAAAATGCGATAAATGATGGCAATGTTTAAATCAGATTTGTAACGATTTGCTGTATCCTTGGCAGGGTGCTCACAGAGACGGAATCGTACACACACACTCTCAGTCAAGCATTGCCATAATGAAATATAGATTGCCTACGTATGTTTTGTATTTTTCCACTATCAAAAGCATCCTGTGATTCCGCACGATACAAAAAAAGGAATCATAACGGAAAAGGAGGAAAGAACTCCCCGAGAGAGGAAAATAAGCCTCTGTACAATCAGTGGCAGCAGCAACATTTGATTTCCTCTTCCGCCAGCTTCCGCCGTTAAAGTACTTAGGCAAACATTATGGGTGGTGTTTGGCAATGAGAACGGAATTGTAGTTGGGATTGAAAATGTAACGTACTGGCCCATCCCCTACCCCCGTCAGTGTTCTCTTGCTAAATGTGGGAATCATTGACCAAAAATTTGAGGGTTAAATCGACTGATGAATGGATGGATGGACGGACGGACGACAACACGTGGTAAATGGTGTGTGAAATCGCTTAAGCAGTTTAAATGAGTCGGCTTTTGACTTGCTGTTTAAATCGTTCTTGTTGTTGTTGCTGTTTCTGCTGGTATTCTGCAAATGCGATTTAAATGATAAAAGCAGGGCAGAGGTATTATGACTCGGTTGTATTTTTTGTTATCATTAAACTATTATCAACATCACCAGCCATGATCAGACAGTCAAACGTATGCAATAACGGATTTATTTCGAACATTAAATTCGGGCACATACTTCCCCCAAAACTGAATCACTCGCTCGCTCATCCGACCGTTAAGTAGCTTTAGCAAGTGATCAATAATTTTTGGGATTTTTATCCAGGGGGAAGTCAGTTTTTTTTTTGTTTGGTATGTTAATATGCTCTTCAGAAAATTCTCCCATGGAGATTTTTGGTTTGTGTTTTTTGGGGGTGTGTATGTGTGTGATTTTTTCGCAATGTTTTTTTGTGTATGATTTTTTTTTCTGAGGGTTGGGGAATGAGAATTTTTTGTACTTACATTGTGCAATTTATAATAGAGTCCGCAGGCATTACACACTGGTTCACCACTTGCATTCCGCCGCCAAAGGGTTGTTGTTGTGGTTTTGCAATTGGCACATGAGGTCCCCGCACGTTTGGCCGCACTTTGTAGCGACTGCAGTGTCTGTTGAAAAAAATAGAGAAAAAAGGGAGAAAATTAATACAGGAAATTAGATAAAAAACTAATAGAAAACAGACAATGTTAAGACAAAATAACCCTAAAAGTATGCTTTAGTTTTTGAAATATATGCTAATTAGAAATAAATTTTTATAATTTGGGATTATCATTACATTGAGATAACAAAAATTCAAGAATGAAATATACTATAAATTATTTTGAAGTTTTGAAAACTTTACACCAAAAAGTATGCTTCATTTTTTTAAAATATTTTTTTAGCGTTTATAATTTTAATTTTCAGAACAAAGAAGGAATTTTGGAGGAAAAACTAATTTTCAATATTATCGCCATTAACAAAAAAGCAATAACATTTTATATCATTGCTACTTGCAGCCTAAAAGTATACACTGGGTTTTTCTTAAATTTAAAATTATTTCAAAAATCCCAAAAATAAACTTTTCGAATAAAAAATATTAAAAAAATTATATTAAATAAAGTACAAGTAACAACATTTTAAATATTTTTTCCCAAAAGTATGGGCATATTTTGAAGTTGCCCAAAAGTATACATCATTTTAAATTATATTGCAAAATTGTTAACATATTGGAAATTGGTGAGAAAAATTATTCGGAATAGATGGTCATAGTAATGATAATATAAAGAGTGTTTACACTTCATATTTTTAATTTAATTTTCAAAAAAAAAATCTCCTAAAAGTAGGCATTACTTTTTGAAACTTTTATGACTCAAAAAAATCAATACTCACATATTTTACATACTACATATTCCATCAAAATAAGGCATTCTGATAATAAATGATTTTTTTTTCAAATAATTTTTAAAAAAAATTCTCCTAAAAGTAGACACTAGATAACTACTCCTAAAAGCATGCATTATTTTTTTGTTATTTCGAAAACCCCTAAAATATCTTTTACTTATTTTGTATTCCTTCAATCCCAGTTTAAAATGAAAATGCTCTAAAATGATGCATCATTATTTTAATTTAATTTAATTCCCAAAAATATGCAACATTTTTTAATTTAATTTTTTTTCAAATAATTTTCTTATTATCTAAAATAATTTTATTCCTTAAATTAAAAATTACCTAAAATATGCACTAGTTTTTTATAAATTTTCCCCAAAAGTATTCCCCCAAAAGTATGCACCATTTTTTATTTATTTGTTATATAGAATCCCTTAATTATTTATTACTTTCAGGTTTTTCGAAATCACCTTAGAAATGTTTTTCTCCTATCAATTTTAATTTCTACACCTTTTATCCCCCAAATTCATTAACACCTTGTGTTTGCATATTTTTTTGTTTTTGTTGTTGTCCTGGATGTTTAGGAAATGTTTTTAATTTTTTTTGTTTTTTATTTTTTGGTTATGCCATCTTTCACCTCGAACTTCAGAAAAATATCTGCTGCTGCCTCGGCTATGGCATGTTGGTGCAGTTTTGTTGAATTGTCATGTTAACAACTTAATTTATTTACGTTAGCCATGTTGTCATGTCGCGTCCCCCCGTTTGTTGCGAATTGTGTCTCAAAACTGTATGTATGGCTGTCTGTCTGTCCCTGCTGATTGTGTCCCTAGTTTTAAACGAACCACAAAAATACGGATGATGCTGATGATGACCAAAAAGTAAAATAAAAGCAATCATTCGATTTGTTGCTGGTGCTGCTGATTCAATCTGGAAATTGTTACTTGCAATGTCTACATATTGTTGTTGTTGTTTTTGGGTGTATTTCTTGTTGTTGTTTCTGTGGCTTAACGAGATCGTCACATAATTACTGAAAAAGCTAAAGATTTTTGTTGTCGATGACCAATTTGAAAAATGTTTTTGGTAACACTTTTTGGCCTGGTAGAGAGTGTAGGTGCTGGATTGTGCGTGCCAGCCAGCCAGGCCTATGGTGGGCGTTCGAAATTAATTCCTTAAGTTGTGTTCTGTTTTTGTTTTTTCAGTTTCCCACTATTTGCCTGGTAAATCCTTTGCGTTTAATAATATCGTTACAAGATCGTTAACACCTCTTGGCCAATGCTGACTGAGTCCTCCACATTTTTGAGATATTTGCTGCATGTCTTGCGGATTTTTGTGTGTGTTTTTTGGGAATTCAGATGATCTTGTTTTAAGGCATTGGGAAGTAAACATCTTCTTTTGGGTTGTGAGACTGTCTGAAATTTATGTTAATGTGTTAACAAAAAATTTCTGGGAGAGACAGCCTGAACGAGGCACAGGTGATCGATACGAAACAGCAACCAACCAACAGAAAAAAACATCAATTAAAAATCATGGCAATACATGATCAATGCCAAGAAGTCCCAAGTATTTTTTTCTTGCCAGGTTCTCCAAAAAAAATAAATACATGATCATGAGCAATATCAGTTTTGCAATTTTTCTGTTGTTGTTGTAGGGATGCAACATCAGGGTACAACATTATGTAGAGGCTTCTCCATACTTTGTTGGCAGACAGACAGGTAAGGTTAAGTGGACAGCAGTAGGGCTTATGAGAGAATGCCAGTTGGGCTTTATTAGCGGCTCATCTGGACAAAATGCGTGAAATCTTGAAGTCGAAAGACAGACAGACATACACACGAATACATACATAGATACACCTTCTTCAATCTTTCAGAAGAAGAAGAAAAAGTAAAGTGGACAATGTTATGTTGACCATGTACAACGTTTTGTTGTCTGCTGATTTGTTGTTGTTGGTTGGCTGCCCCTGTGTGCTGTGCAACACCACTTGTATACAAAACATATATCATGTTGTTGTTGTTGCTGTATGGCTGGGATCCTCTGCAAAGGAAATTCGTGGAAATTTCGTGCAAGCCAACAAAACTTTGAAATGAATCCGGAGGACAGTAGTGCGACTCCTTTTTGTTGCAGTTTTGTGGAATTGTCAATTTAATGAATTGATACTGATGTTGAACAAGGGATCTTTAGGGATAAGAAACTACAACAACAAAAACCAACAACAACTGGTGGTTTATTCTTCTTCTTTTGCTGTGTAAATGTTATCATATTCCAGGTAAAGAAATTAAGCAGAAAAAAAAAGAAGTTGGAGATCCAGCGAACGGATTTAATTGCAACTAACGGAAGCTACTGGTTTCAAGGAAAGGCTAATTAGGTGATGTGAACACTTTCATATTTAATTTCAGTTCCACACACACCACACACCCCCACCCCTTCTCTGCTCACTCTCTATCTCCTTCAAGCCAAGGATGTGTTTTGCCTAGAACTGTCGCCATAACCATATTTATGCATATATCATTCTGATCAGCACAATCATTCGGAGCAGCAGTAGTCATACAAAAAATGTCATGGCGATATATCACTGTCATCGTTCCGAACAGCAAAAAAATGACAAAATGTCAAATATTGACAAGAGATTAATTGAAATGCAAACGCAACAGCCAGTCAGCCAGCCAGAGTCAGCCATCCAACACCTTCAAGATATAAATATGCATTGGAGACCCCTTTTAAGCCCAGCTTATGAAAAGGTAAAAAAGGGAGGGAGAGAGAGAAATGAAATGATCAGACAATCACACATAATATTATTAGTTTTGTTGTTGCTGATTTTTTTTGTGGCTTACAAGATGGCGTTTCAAGATAATCATTGAAACATTTGTTGTTTTTTCTTCATTTCTCCTGGGTTTGTTTTTTCCTTCTTTGCTTTTTGTGGGGGGTAGTCATTTTTAAGAAGCCCAAAAACTGTCGGACAGACTTCGATGGGGACACTCAACATGAAACTGTTTTGTTATGTTTGCCTTATCATAAATTCGCACCTCAAAAGATTTATTTATGCGCTGACAGCTGCCATAAAGACCAACAACGCGACCAGAGCGAAAGTGTGTGTGCGCGCGCAGAAGACAAAAAAACTTGCAGGAAGAATATAAATAAAATAAAAAAGAACTATTTAACACGCACATAAGAAGAAACAAATTATAAAAACAAGGCACTAAGAAATATATGGGATTTTTATCGAAATGTAAATTAAAAAAAAAAAAAATAAATTCAAGTAACTAAGTTTGCTGGGTTATCAAAAAATTAAAAGTATATTTTTTTCAAATTTTTTAGAGTCTGCAGTTTAGAGAAAAAAATAAAAACAGCCTTTTAAAGAATATTTTATTGTCAAAGAGTCTTTGATTTTTTTTAAAGAAAAATGTTGTTAAAAACTTAATGAAATTATAAAGTATCGAATATGTCATCAAAGACAAAAATATAGTCGATTGAAAACTAGCCCATGTCTTCTTGGAAAGTTTTTTGAAAAACTCCATGGTTTATGAGATATTTGAAAAATGAAACTCATTGCCTACTTTTAGGCAAAATTTCAAATATTCAATAATATTCGAGTTTTTTGTAAAAAAAATAAATAATGTGATTGGTATTTGAAGATAAAACTTTAAACTAATTTTGAAATATAGACAAAAGTATAAAAAATAAAAATCGTGTATAAAATACAAAAAAAAAAATTAAATTTTGGTTAAAAAATTAAAATTTCGGACTTGACATCAGAGTCAAAAATAAAGCTTATCGAAAACAATCATAAGTCTTCTAACAGAGTTTTTCGAAAAACTCACTGGTTTTTAAGATGTATGGAAAACAAAATGTATTGCATACTTTTAGGCAAAATTTAAAATATTTTTAAATAATAATAGTTTTATAACAAAAAATATATCTAGTTTTAATTGTGGTTGATATTTAAAAAGAAAAATGTAAAAAACACTAATTTCCCATTTCGCCCCTTGAATTATGCAATAGAAATTCGTTTTTAATTTTCTAGCCAGCCGTCGGCAATTCCATACTAAAATCTCATCATAGTCATCATTAGAATTATTTACAGCATCCTTTTGTAAGAAATCATGCCACCCAATTTTCACACAAAAACACATATACACACACCCATCACAACACACACATACACAGAAGCCAATAACCTTTAGCATCTAAGATAGTGCGCAGATACAGAATTTTAATAACAACAACAACTATATGTACATTGATATAG